CTCTGAGACCAGTTCAACTCTGAGACCAGTCCACTGGTCCAACTCTGAGACTAGTTCAACTCTGAGACCTGTCCAACTCTGAGACCAGTTCAACTCTGAGACCAGTTCAACTCTGAGACCAGTCCACTGGTCCAACTCTGAGACCAGTTCAACTCTGAGACCAGTTCAACTCTGAGACCAGTTCAACTCTGAGACCAGTTCACTGGTCCAACTCTGAGACCAGTACAACTCTGAGGCTGGTGTAAGGGTCTGACACTTGGTCCAACACCCAGTGTAATACATGTCCAACAGTCAGACCAGTTGGTACCAGTTAGTCCACTAGGTCCAATGAGTCTAGTCTAAAAACCGTCTGGATCTGATCAGGGTCGACCTTTAAACCTTCTCTTCTGGTGAAAAACTGGATCAAAATAAAGATTTTATGTCTTCGAAGCAAACCAGCTGAAGATGAGAACATATCTGACCCAGCAGAGTTAGACATCTCTGCAGGATCACACATCCCCTGAACGTTGGACTGTTCCTTTAAGAAGGTCCACAGCAAAGCAAACAGGAAGTAGAATCTACAGGACAGGAAGTGGAAGCACATGGCCCAACTGGTCCTACCTTAAACAACTCAAACTCCTTCTTTGGCATCATGAGCTTCAGTGGTGAGACACAACATGAATGGAGATGAGGAGGGGAGTGAGGAAGAGTGTGATGATGAAGAGCTGGTCGGTGTTGGTACCTGGATGGTGTGGCTGTAGACCGGTTCTCCTCGGTTTGGGTCTGCAACTTTAGTGATGTCTAGGATGTTATTTGGCACGTAGCCCGAGGCTCCGCAGCCGTTCCGAACCTTCCACCACTGCTTCCTGTCGTCCAGCACCTGACAGACAGAACTCAGGGAATCAGGCCTTCAGACTGAGCCACTGGATCAGAAACCAGGTCATGGTCCTGCCATGAATGAGCCCAAACCCTGCTTCAGCTCCTGGTTCTAGTTGGGTCTTCAGTTACTGTTAGCTTCGAGCTGCTGCTCTGCTAGTTTTATCCTTTAGCTCTTATTTTGCTATTTTTAGCTTTAAGCTTGAACAACTCATCAATCAGTAAAACATTTTTTACAGAAACAATCATTTCTCCAGCTCAACTTGGTGGTTTACCTCCACGAGCTCGTCTTTAAACACCGACAGCTCCGTGCTGTTCCTCGCCACAAAGTCGAACTTCGATTTGGCAAAAAGTTTCTGCTGAAATCTGTCGGCATCAAAAGCTCTGAAACACAACAGAGCACAGAAATCAGTTCTGATCAAACCCGTTTAAAACCTGATTTCATCTGCAGGTCACTCCGTCAGGTCAAAGGTCAATCCTAAACTCCATCTGAATGAACTAGTTTCAGATTTTAGGGTTTTATCGATCTAAATTTAGAGCCAAGGAGAAACGATCCATCGTTAAAAATCAGACTGAAGAGGTTTGAATCAACAYGTAAACAACAAGATAAACAATAAACATGTTTCAGACGAACAGAGATCAAATGAAAAGAAGGAATAAATGAATCTGATCAGTTTTCAGGTCTGAATCAGGTAAAAACAAACAGGAAGAGGCAGAACGTTGCTTCCTCAGGTGATTTAAAACAGGAAACAGAACGGTGGGATCGGTTCTCCTGGGCTTCTGGTGACCCGTCAGTTACCGGTCCACGCGGCGGCTGAAGGCGTGTTTAAACGCCGCCACGGCAGTGTCCTGATCCAGGACCTGGAAGCGTTTGTGGGAGGAGCCATACCCGTCAGCTAGAGGGAACCTCTGCACCGCCACCTGCTGTTGACACACAGAACATACAGAACACACGTGTAAATCACGTGTTCTCATCAGAGAGTCACTGAGCTTCTGTTGACGGCACACAGACCTCCTGAGACCGCCACAGATCATCGGTTCTCTGGACGTCTGCACCGGCAAGGCTTTCAGCCAGCTGCATCAGCTCCTGTTCTCGACTCAGAGACACGGCAGACAACACGGGAGGTTCCCAACCATCACGGAACCGCAACGTGCAGGGAGGGAAGTAGTGGTCCTTCGGCCACTCCAGTCTGGAGAACATTATGAGAACAATGACGTCATGAGAACACCACAAGAACATCATGAAGACATTACGAGAACAATAGAACATGATAATAACATCATAATAACATGACATCATGAGAACATCATGAAAATCACATTAGGTCATCACAAGGAAACAATGAGAATAACACAATGATGAAATTATGGGGACTGACATGAGAACATCATGAGACCCACAATATAAAATCATGTGAACAAAAGCATGAGGACATGAGAATGTCATGAAGACAACATGACAACATCATAAGAAAATATTAAGGACATGAGACTTTGAGGACATCAAAACGGTAAAATCTAGGCCAGAACTTAAAAAAAGCTTAAATCTGAGAATGTCCTGATGCATCTAAGTAATCCAGGTAAAAGGACTTAAAAGCCTGAATTTAGCCTGAAACAGACTGAAGAAGTCTCTTGGAAGAGAGACGAAACGTTTCATTAAAGAAGAACCCGTCCAGAGGACCTATACAATTTTTTTTCCTTTTAAATCTGAGAACATGATCTTATGATGACAAGATGAGAGCAAAATATTAGTAACATAAACAGAACCTGATGTTCTTTAGTAGAACACTGATGTTCTCACCTGCATTTGGTCCATCCATCTCCCAGAGTCACCCACAGATGGCGTTCCTCCTCTGTTCCTGAGGCATGGAGGAACTCGATGGCGTCCCTGGTGAGCAGAGGAACCACAACACTTCGAGCCAGATCAGTACTACCAGAGGCTTGGACCACCTGAAGAGGGTCAGACAGACACACTACTGACAGAGACTACTGACTTCTTTAAGATTCTATCATTTTTATTCATTATATGTATTACTATTAACTCAACCAGTCCTCTGGCACCAGAACATTCTCCATCAGTAGGATTAACGTTCTGGCTGCTGCTTGATGTCAGCAGTGATACCACTTCCTGTTCAGATGACAGGACTTACCATTCTGAGTGGAGTGAACAGGAAGTGAATCAGATCAACGGCGCTTGGGTTCTGGATGTGATCCTTCAGCTTCGCCTGCAATTCAGAACACAAACCATAGTCAGGTTCTGCTGGACCTGAAAAGCAACCCCAATAAACAAAAGCCTCAACCCCAGTGAACCAAAGCCAGAACCCCAGTGAACCAAAGCCACAACCCCAGTGAACCAAAGCCACAACCCCAGTAAACTAAAGCCACAACCCCAGTGAACCAAAGCCACAACCCCATTGAGCCAAAGCCACAACCCCAGTGAGCCAAAGCCACAACCCCAGTGAACCAAAGCCACAACCCCAGTAAACTAAAGCCACAACCCCAATAAACCAAAGCCACAACCCCAGTGAGCCAAAGCCACAACCCCAGTAAACCAAAGCCACACCCCAGTGAGCCAAAGCCACAACCCCAGTGAGCCAAAGTCACAACCCCAGTGAGCCAAAGCCACAACCTCAAAGAACCAAAGCCACAACCCCAGTGAACCAAAGCCACAACCCCAGTAAACTAAAGCCACACCCCAGTGAGCCAAAGCCACAACCCCAG